AATTAACAAAACATTATCAATAAAAATCGGCTGTTTTTCTGTTGTGAGGGTCTTATTCGTACATCATAAATTTCCTGACAATTGTGAGCGTATGAGCTTTTAAATTTACGCCAGCATAGGTATAACCACACAATAGTCAGAAACCTCACAATAGTGAGTATGGTGATTTTTGTGAGGGCCACAGAATAGGGCAGTTAGCTTTGTTTCTCAACTGATAATTATCACAAATTATCACTAATTTCTGCTGGAAAGCGTNAACTTGGAGCAAAAGTTTGTATGGAAATGAAATCCTATGCCTGCTCTAATCCTATGCCTGCTCTAACTCTTCCGAAACTGCCGCAAAAACAAGCAATTACTGCGCCATTACTGAATATACTTTTAGTTAAAAAAAAACTTAACACAGACACTGATAGCGAACAAAAATTAACAAAACATTATCAATAAAAATCGGCTGTTTTTCTGTTGTGAGGGTCTTATTCGTACATCATAAATTTCCTGACAATTGTGAGCGTATGAGCTTTTAAATTTACGCCAGCATAGGTATAACCACACAATAGTCAGAAACCTCACAATAGTGAGTATGGTGATTTTTGTGAGGGCCACAGAATAGGGCAGTTAGCTTTGTTTCTCAACTGATAATTATCACAAATTATCACTAATTTCTGCTGGAAAGCGTTTCTTAACCCAAAAAACTAGCAGAAACTAGCAGCTCTCTCTCGATCTTACGCTCTTCTTTTTTTGGCTCTCCTGCTAATTTCTGCAAGTAAAATTTTTACTAGCAGAAACTAGCAGCTGTCAAAACGGATAAACAAAAATTCGCGCCAAATACTTTCAATAGTCAAATACACCGATCAGCTGATTACTTGCTAGTTTCTGCTAGTTTTGCGTTTCTTTACTTTTTCGTTATTTCGCTCTCTGTGAGCGTAATTCTTTCAATTTCCTCATTCTTCTTATTCCTGATAATTATCTGCTAGAAAAGAAAAGAAACAAAGTCTTTGTTTACTGGATATACTGAGGATATAATGTCGACGAACATAGATATAAAATTTAAAATGACTAACCTTATTCCCGGGCGATTTGGGAGACCACCCTTGGCGCAATCTTGTATTCTATCATTCTTGGTTATTACTCAACTTTTTGCTATAGTTGAGGCATGAAAAGATAGAGAATTAAAATATCTTTCAGAATTATAGAATAAATAATAATTTAAAATGCATATGCCTTTTTTCGAGCTCCCACTCAACTGTGTGCGTACGCAAAGCATTCGCATGTGAACGCCAAGTTTTGACAGATGTGTGCGAGCGTCCATAAGAATACAAATGAAATTCTTTGCCTTTGCGAACGTTCACGTTCGCATTGAACTGTATATCAAGCTATACCACGATTGAGAGAATACAAAGGTTGCGCCGATCTCGGACCGCTATTCCTCTCTTAACGAATTTGACAGAATCGCTGTTTGCATGACGTCACACTGGTGCAACTTGTTTACGTTTTCCTTGCAACATATTTTCTTCTTCTTCCATTCTTGCTCACGTTTTGGCATTTCTCTCTCGCAATTGCACCAGTGTGACGTCACACACAAGTTATTCTCAAAAATCCTCTCCGATCGGCGCAATCTTGTATTCTATCATTCTTGAAGCTATACCGGTATGTTTACGTTCTTGACTAATTTCAGCTTTCTGCAATATGGGCTACAACTACAGAAAAATTCTGAGGTGTTGAGTTTTAATTTACATGGCGCTCTGGCAAGACAGATCGTGTCAGCCTCAGTATATCCAGTAAACAAACTTAGCTATTTTTTTTCACCAAGTTTGGTCCCCATAAAGGACTAGTGTTGCAAGCAACACTATGGCCAAAAAAGTATACAGTATAATAGTAGTAGTAATAAACCTTTTTGAGTACTCATCGGGGGTAAAATCTGATCAGGGTTGATAATGAGAAGCATGAATTTTGCCGATTCAGAGTTGCATACAAATTTACTGTGGTATGAAAGGGAGCAACAACCGTACTATGTCAGAGTGGTACAGGTAATTTTGTAAACACTTCTTATAATTATAAGAGATAATTGCTATTTATTTTGCAATACTCCGATATGCAGTGTGTAGCCAGAGGCAGTGGCATGTGAGCCTCACTAAAATCTACTCATCATGTTGGAGCAGCTCCGGATAATAGACCATTGGATGGGCTGGCTGAACTTATGACCACCTTAACCTTCGGGAGTCTCCAAGCAAATGCGTGTTCTTAGTTTATGCGGTAGCTNAATAGACCATTGGATGGGCTGGCTGAACTTATGACCACCTTAACCTTCGGGAGTCTCCAAGCAAATGCGTGTTCTTAGTTTATACGGTAGCCATTCATAGCAATTACTATTGTATGTGTGTATAATTCATATTGGTGACATTCTATACTTTGATCCTGAGTATTTTTGAGGAGCTCCGGGTAATGGTCGCAAACTTGGGTGCGCTTAATGAGCTCTGTGGGCGGATGCGCTAGCAGGCTTTGGAGTCTCCATAACTATACAAACCTTGTTTTTTTCTTTTGAAATAAAGACTTAAATATATTCGGAAATTTAGAATTTTCTTTGATAAATTCACGTTTTTATAAAAATATATTCTTAAAATGGATATTTTATTGATTTTAAACTTACATTTATGAAAACTTCATTCAGTGCTATAATTACGATTTGAGTTTCCAGTTTAAAGAAATACAAGCAATATTTATGTACTTTACTGTATATTATATTTACCCCACATTTTGTTCATAAATAACACAACTATATATATTTTATCCTCGAAAAGAACTTTTTCTAATCATGAGGCGAAATTCCCCACAGTGTGTTGCCGTGCGCGAAAAACGAAAGCGCCGCACACAACCCAAAAGTACTCCTCGGGGACCAATTGGTGAAAAACTGCGAAAAGGTTTATTACAGTAAATATACTGCGGTATATACATTGAAATATCTATTTTTAATAACAATCGGGGGTTATATTCGATGTAAATAAGCTTGTTTATATTAAATAATTAAATCAAATTCGTTTTTGTTTTAAAATACCATGATGCAATAATACAAGGTGTTATCAGTTGGCAACTTCTCGCTCTAATTCCGCCATATAGACTGCCTTACATGAAACAGTGTTTCTTCTTTAACTATTCTTTGCCCATTAATATAGTTGAATGTTTTTTTATTTTTATTAATATAGTTGAATGTTTTTTTATTTTTATTATTACATCATGTTAAAATACCATTTTAGGAAGTGTGATTGAATTCTTCCCCTTTTTCTGCTGCTTCTATAAACCATCCCTGTGGGGGGAGTGAAAAATTAAAAAAAAAACTACTTACAAGACCTTTAATAACCCTGCAAAATTCGCGACTAATCCATGCATGCGTGTAAAGAGTACTCCCTAAGGACCAAGGAGTACTCCAAAATTGACCACAATTCATATAAAAAATATGGTCCAATTAACATTGCGATGTCCTAGGGCAGGACCATATACTCCATCCCCGCATTACATCAGAGTAGCACAAAACTACTCCAACATATTAACAATGGCATTGTTGCTATATTTTTTCGTTTGTACACGCTTTTGTTCTTCACTTCTCAAATACTTTTTCAAAATTAATAAAAACCAAGACATCATAAATTAAAAATTATATGTTGCCTCTGACGGTATTCGAACCCGAACATGCTGGGAGCTAAGAACTAACAGCGAGCATCTCTACACGTTCAGCTACAGCCAGACATGCAAATGTGCTTTCAAATGCTCAACTTCAATCACGTTTCGTTAAAACACGAGCAGTGATCGGATAACAAACAATAAGCTAGCGCAGAGACACCAGTTGGTCCGCTACAGCATGACAGAGGAACACTTTTGTAAGTACTCCAATCTACCACAAATAGACTACATGATCCAGCGATTTTTGCAGGGAATTGAATCACGATTTCCATGTATTTTCGTTTGAGATAGGTAATTTTTCAATCGAATTCTGAAGTAGGGCGTTGGTAAAAAGGGCATAAATGCAGTTGAGCTCCAAATCTCAAATTAAAAAAAAAAATATTGGAATCGATAGAGATGATTGAGCTGAGTATAACGGTATACTTCTTTTTTTGGGCAAACAACAACAACAAGATAATTCTATCAAAGGCTTAAGTTCAAAATAAGCAATTTTTGAAATCAAGATTTCTCAAAAACGAATGAATGGATTTTAAAAATTTTGGTCTCATTTAATGGCAAATTTGATTCCCTTTAATTTGCTATACGTACTTTATATATATGTTGTATAGTTCTTACAAAAGTTGAATTAATGTAAAAGAATTATATAAAAAAAAGCTTACAAACCCTGTGCGGCCAACGCCGCCTACGCAGAAAGGTGTTCTCTGCAAAAGGTGTTCAGTGCCTCTTCTTCGCAACACAGAAAGAGAATGCTACGTTGTGAGGGTTGTAATCCCTAAGTGCGGCCGAAGGCCACCTACGCAGAAAGGTGTTCTCTGCAAAAGGTGTTCAGTGCCTCTTCTTCGCAACACAGAAAGAGAATGCTACGTTGTGAGGGTTGTAATCCCTAAGTGCGGCCGAAGGCCACCTACGCAGAAAGGTGTTCTCTGCAAAAGGTGTTTTTTATAATTATTTTACATTAACTTAATTTTTGTAAGAACTATCCAACATATATATAAAGTACGTATACCAATCATCATCAATCAAATTTCCTATTAAATGAGATCAAAATTTTCAAGATACATCCATCCGTTTTTAGGAAATCTTGATTTCAAAAATTGCTTAATTTGAACTTTAACCTTTGATAATTTTTGTTGTTGTTTGCCCAAAACAAAGAAGTATACCGTTATACTCAGCTTAATCATCTCTATCGATTCAAATTTTTTGTTGTTGTTTTTTTGAGATTTGGAGCCCAACTGCATTTGTTCCAAATTTCCACTCATGTAAACAATATGCTACTAAGTACATAGTAGCCCACCTGCAATTGAATTTAAATACGAAGAATCTACTAAAATATTCAAATTAAATAGTTTATTTATTGGTTCATTAGTTAATTTAACTTTATATGACGCCTTATAAATCTTATGCTTCTACCTGATGGCGAGCAGCGCTACCTGGCTTTTCAGCCAAGAAATCGGCAAATTCTTGATATGGAGTGGCACCCAAAGGCATCTCCTTCCACAAATCAGGTGTCAGATAAGCGTAGGTCTTAGCAATCGCGGCATAAGTGGCTTTGGCAAAGTTACCAAGAGTACCAGTCGAGCCACGAGCTGAAGTATAACAATCCTCAATACCAGCCATGGTAAGCAACTTCTTGGGGACAGGTGCCGATACAATACCAGTACCACGAGGAGCAGGAATCAAGCGCACTGATACCGAACCGCATTTGCCAGTAACCTTGCATGGTACAGTATGCGGCTTACCAATCTTATTACCCCAGTAACCCCGACGTACGGGCACGACGGACAGCTTAGCCAGAATAATTGCACCACGGATAGCGGTAGCTACTTCCTTGCTGCACTTAACACCAAGCCCGATGTGTCCGTTGTTGTCACCAATAGCCACAAAAGCCTTAAAACGAGTACGTTGACCAGCACGAGTCTGCTTTTGGACAGGCATGATCTTCAATACCTCATCACGGAGAGCTGTACCCACAAAGAAATCAATGATTTCGAACTCTTTAATGGGTAATGAATATAGGTAGATCTCTTCCAATGAATGAATTTTTCCATCACGCACCAAGCGACCCAATTTGGTTACTGGAACCCATTCCTTGGAGTCCTCTTTGCCTCCACGGCCACGTCCACGTCCACGGCCGCGACCACGGCCACGGCCACCACGGCCACCTCGAGAACCAAATCCTCCACGGAAACCACCACGGGCTGGAGCTGCGTCCGCCATTCTAAAAGTAAACGTGCTTGTTAATGTCGACGTACTTTGAGGTTAATTCCTTAATTAATGCATAAGAATATCAGACACCTTTAAACCATGATTGTTCCATAGCTTAAGCTTTGCAACCTTATGGTGAAAACCGTGAAGGGAAAATCAATACTACCATTTTTTTTATTAAAAAAAACATGTCGCCTTTATCTTGACCACGTGCCAAAGGATCGACTAAATTTTATTTCATTTAACATAATTCCAACACCAACTAATTATTATCTACAAAAATTCGAATTTTTAAGAACACTTATTAAATTATCGTTCTTGTGAAATAGTTTGTATTTCTAAAGATTTTAAGTAAAATATTTAACTCACCTGTAGCAAATCAAGTTATGTCGGTGAAGGGAAAAAACCGAATGAACGAGTCAACATCGCTCGTTTCTTGAGGAGCCATCTTGTCTATAAGCAACGTGTAAAACCTACTCGCTGGCTTTGTTTCGTTAACTGGCCGCTTCCACAGGATAAAATTTATTGCTGTCTAGCTGTCATTTTGGTCGCTAGATANTTGCTTTTACGCTCTGTCTGCAATGTTTTACTGGAGAAGCTACTATCTATTACTATTATACTATTTTATATCTTGATATAAGCTTTTGTAAGATAGGTTCTAAACGCATTTTTGCCGGATTTAATAACTTAAAAAATTTCAAAAATATACTATTTTAACACCAAGTACATAATAACAAATATTTTGACAGAAAATAGCTCAATTTTTGCTTTTTTATTAGGTTTGTGGTTGTTTTGTATATCAAATAAACTCTAAAACTTCCTTATGAAACGCGTATGTGTAACTCGAAGTGACTTCGAGTATCTTGTGGAACAAACCTATTAAAATATCAATAATGTTGCGGACAAGAAGTTTTCGTGAAAATGTAAATGTAGCTGTCAAACTGCCAAATTTCCGGCAATTGATGGCAAGATATAAGATCTGATCTTGAAGCAATGAGCGGCTTCCATTAGCTATTTATTACTGCCCGTCTCCACAGGATAAAGTTTATATCTTGATACATATGTTAGAATATAAATAGCCAATGAGGACCGCTCATTGCTCTTCAAGAGAAATATAATTCAAAGCTTATATCTTGCCATCTATTGCCGGCAATTTGGTAGTTTGACAGCTACATGTTCATTTGCATGAAAACTTCGTGGCGGCAACATTATTGATATTTTAATATATAAGCAGATATTGAACTCTTTTCGGTTTAAATATTTGTTATTGTGTAATTGGATGTAAAACAGCCTATTTTCTAAGTTTTTTTAAGTGATTAAATCCTGCAAAAATACGTTTTAGAAGCAATCTCACAGATGCTTATATCAAGATATAAAAAGCCCACACAAATATTGCCACTGATATAATTTATAGCTAGCGACCAAAATGACAGCTGGACAGCAATACATTTTATCCTATGGAGACGGCCAGTTATATTTTAACACATGAACCAAAAATACAAGACCACGTAAGAACGCGACGTTGTATTTGTAACTGGTTTTGAGAAAAAAGTTTGCGAAAGCGGGTTCGTCAGCTGAGCGTGTGTTTACATCAAAAGCACCACTATTTTACACTTTTATTTAAGTAAAAAAGAGTTAATTCAACATGACAACACATTGTAAAGGTTTTTGTTGCATCATTTTACCTAAATTAAGCGTTTAAAGTGGCTGACAATAATTTTGGCTAATTTTGGTTTTCGTTGTTTTTTTTACTTTGTTTACTTTTCGCTCGTTTTCCAGTGAAACAAGATGGCGTAGAACCCGCTAAAAAATCGACTTTTTTAACTCTCTTGTTCTTACGTGATCTTGTGTCTTTCGTTCATGATTCTAACATAGGGCTCTGTTACACGATTAGTAATTATCACGATACTTTGATCGCGATCCATATTGATGGATTGATGGATCGCGCACGAATGCTACATGTTCAATACTTATCGCGTCAGTATTTGCATAATATTTGTGCTGAACGCTTATTATGACGCAAGAAAATATTTTTATTTTGTACGTATAATTTACAGATAATGCATTCCACAATTATTCTAAAATTTACAATGTTAATTAAAATTTGTTNACTGTGAACACCCCAATAAATTATATCAGTGGCAATATTTTTGTGGGCTTTTTATATCTGGATATAAGCTTATGTAATGCAGCGTTTTTGCTGCATTTAAAATGCAACATTTAGCACTTTCGAACATATGTTTTCGAACAGCGTTCATGCTATAGCATTTAGCAAATGTACATTTACGCGAGTTGGAAATCGTATGCTTTTGACAAACAGCCGTGTTCCAGTTTCTTATTTCGATCCGTATATATTACGATCAATTATCACANTCAATATTTATTGACGGTATTGCGATCCGCGATCCAGATTTCAAAATTTTCAGAAATTTTGCGATATGGATCACGATCCATCATTTNCATTTACGCGAGTTGGAAATCGTATGCTTTTGACAAACAGCCGTGTTCCAGTTTCTTATTTCGATCCGTATATATTACGATCAATTATCACACAGAAGATAATGTGCAAAAACCCTACTGAAAAGTAAAAAATAAATTTTAAACCAAAAATTCAATACAAAAACTTGAATTGTTTAAACCATAACCGAACATTTGTTTGTGTATATATTCATTTGTCGGTGCTTCAATTAAAATTTCCCNTATGCATCGCGTTTTGAATGTGCTACACGTTCAATATTTATTGACGGTATTGCGATCCGCGATCCAGATTTCAAAATTTTCAGAAATTTTGCGATATGGATCACGATCCATCATTTTTGCATGCTACACCGTCAATAAATATCGCGATACTTGGATCACGTCAATAAATATTGACCGTGTGACAGAGCCCATAAGTATCAAGATATAAATTTTTGTCCAACTCTCATTTTGNTCAATTAAAATTTCCCCACTTAATTAGGAAACAAAACAAACAGAGCTGATCACAAATTGATCCAGATTTCTATCAGCAACACATCGATGTTGAATTTGCTCAACTTTTCTTTATCCAAATATGTAATGTAAAATAAAAGAAATCTCGATCGGTGATCACTGCAACGCAGCTAGCAACAGTATACTCGAAAAAGCAATGTTGCCACTCTTTTCCTTTAAACCATGTTCGAATCGTGGAAATTTTGGAAGATCACNCTTCCAACAAAGATGGCGTCGAGATTTCAACAGCTAGAAAATAACTTTTTTCTTTCTTTCGGGAAGGCGTGATCTTGTGTCTTTCGTTCATGCATTTTGGTCGCTAGATNACAAATTGATCCAGATTTCTATCAGCAACACATCGATGTTGAATTTGCTCAACTTTTCTTTATCCAAATATGTAATGTAAAATAAAAGAAATCTCGATCGGTGATCACTGCAACGCAGCTAGCAACAGTATACTCGAAAAAGCAATGTTGCCACTCTTTTCCTTTAAACCATGTTCGAATCGTGGAAATTTTGGAAGATCACAGGGTTGCTTTTAGCATTTAGATTCTTAATGCAAAAATGGAGTTGCATTTAGTTGCATTTAGGTGACGAATTTTGTATGGATAAATGTACATTGAGAGTAGCATTTAGGGCCGGTTGCTCAAAGCCTGATTAACACTAATCATCGGTTAACATCGTTATCGACGTTTTCGACTCCATGCATATAACACGGTGTCGGTAACGTCGATAACGATGTTTCACCGCAGATTAGTGTTAACCAGACATTGAGTAACCGGCCCATTATGGGCTGTTTTTGCTTACGCGTAAAAGCACATTAGCGCATTTAGCTCTAAATGCTACTCTAAATATACATTTATCCATACAAAATTCGTCACCTAAATGCAACTACTAAATGCAACTCCATTTTTGCATTAAGAATCTAAATGCTAAAAGCAACCCTGTGATCTTCCAAAATTTCCACGATTCGAACATGGTTTATAGGCCTTTCGCACGAGGCGATTTTTCAGGCAACAAAAGTGGAATGCGGAGTTGAATGAGAAGTTGAAAGTGAAAAAGTTGCCATCCCTATTCAGACGAGGCGATTTTCGATTCAACACGAGTCGTTATTTACATTATTGAAAATGAATTTAAATCGCAAAATTTGATCAATTGGCATAAATTTGGTAAGCCAAGCGTTGGTAGAAGTGCTTTTAGCGAAGCTGAAAGATAAATAAGAGTAAAAAAGTAAAAAAGAAAAAAAAGTATGATACAGAAGAGTGTTGGCATTTTTGGTACAATTGTACTTGTTTTATACAATTTCATTTACAATATACTTTCCTACTACGCAGTACTTTTTAGTAAAATTTTGTAATGAATACTAAAAATATATAGCTCTGAAAATTCACAGCAAGAAATTTTTTGTGTTCTCTTTGGTTCGCCTGTTCGTATTTACCTTTGTAATTTTGAAAAATGGCTTCAACGAACCAGTATAATATAGCCTAGTCAAATTTTTAAAGAAACTTTTCGATACTAAGTTTTATTAAAACAAAATGTCGAAGTCAGCTTCATATAGAAACAAAGTCTTCGTTAGTTATAAGAAGAGTTTTTCGTAAATATAATACCTTTACGGCACTCACATATTGACAAGATTTTACTATTTATTTTATTATTCTTTAATTTTAATTATCTGTTTATAAAATATAATGTATTCTTTAAGAAAAACTGTACAAACCTAAGATTAAATCTTTGCGAAACATCCAAAAACCAACATACTTTCGTAAAAATTTCGAGCTTTATTAATATTCTTTAGTTTTTAGCCCATTCAATTTTAGTATAATAAAGTTCAAGTTTAAAGTAGCTGGGACTTACCGTTGAACTTGGCATTTTTTTTGTCGACGATGTCAGCCATTTTCTTCCATACGAAGTGTGTCCGACGATTTTTTTATATGGAGAAAATTAGCAACACCTTCATCAAAGAAATCTTAAAAAACTTATTTATATTAAAATTTAATGGGCTAAAAAACCGCACGCTCAAAATAAATCTAGGAAATCGAATTAAAAAGCTCGAAATTTTTACGAAAGTGTGTTGGTTTTTTTTTAATGTTGCACAAAGTTTGAACCTTGAATTTGTACAGCTTTTCTTAAAATATAAACCGTATTTTTACAAAAAATAATTAAAATTGAATACTATTAAGATAAATGGTCAAATCTTGTCGTAAAGTTTTGATAAGCACTTGAAATGCTATTAAAATGTCAAATTTTAGTACTGAATCCAAAGGAAAATGTCTTTTTATCCATTAATAATAACTTAAATATGCTTTTTGTTAAGATGTATACCTGAAAATGTGTGCATACATATTTGCGTTAAATGCAGTACATGTGCACGTGGAATCAATTTGTAAAAGTGTAAACTACGTAAACGTATGTACATAAACAATAAAACTTTCTCATGAATACCATAAAATCATTGGTC